CTTTCATCCGAATTTAGATTTGGAATGAAAAACAAAAAGCGGAGCGCTGACACGGTTCCCAACTTAGGGGTTTTCCCCCCAACTTTAGGGGGTAATTGAGTGGGATGGGATTTTTTTGGGGGTTTTATATGTTTAGGGGTATTTTTAGGGGTTTTCTGAATACATAATATTCTGTTATTCTGAATATAAACTATAGGAACTATTCAATCCAATAATAGTCATTCAAATGTTTTTTTTACTCATCGAATGACTTCGGACTGAATTACATCTAGTGTTATTATATTTAACTACTGTCTAATGACTAGTATCGCTTCCTAACTTTCTTTTTAGTTTGTGCTTCCTTCCTAGTCTGTGACAGGTGACTAAAAAGGTCATGTTTAAATAGTAAGCTGTTATGTTATTGTTCGTGTGTATATTACTACATATTACTTTTATTTTATATATTATTTTAATAAAATATATTTTTAGGGGAATTTTCAAAAAATTGAGGCAATTCTAGGGGGTTTTGACTTGGATTTAGGGATAAATATTTTTGAGAGTTGGTTACACTGAGCGCAGAATTCAGCTTGTATTTGTATGTGTCATTATGCATCCACAAAACGAATGATACTAATGTAAATATCAAAATCAATTCCTTCTAGGCTGTTACATAGTACTTGTGAAAGTTGAAAACTTTGCCAATACTAACAAGTACTGACAAGAATCGGCAAGCAACTCAGCAAGGGCTGCTTTTTTAATTTCAACTAACAATTTTTTAACGAAACCACCTAGCTCACATGACACCACCGCAGAGATTTTAAGAGAGCATGACTACTCTAGGTACCTAGTAAATAAAATATTTCAATAAAGCTGATTTCTAGAGTAGGTTGTGTAGGTAGTCAATCTATTATTAACAATATTATTGTAAGAACCAAAAAGCACAAAGCCACCGTTAATTTAACACATGGCTCGACGTCCGCCGTCGACATGTAAGATCAGTAGCAATAGTGTAATAACTGTACGTGTCTTTGTGATTTTGAAATTTAAAGCTATAACCTTGCTGTTCATTTAGAACAGACGTTTCTTGTTGATTGCTGGATGTTTATTAAGATGATTTAATTATGAATATAAGATTGAATAACTGATTATAGTTTTTTAAACCCTATTCATTCATTCACCATAAATAATATAAAAATTTGGGGTAATGGGGTAGTATTCATTTTGAATTTTGGGGTAATAGATAAAACAATAAAAACAACAAACGGACACAAATTATGACAACATATTAATAATGACAAATTAAATCAACATTATTTATTCAGTCTAGGCTGTTACAAGCACTTGTGAAAGTCGAGAGTTCGTAAATCTACGGCGGTAGACCTTGTACCGAGAAGAACCGGCAAGAAACTCGGCAAGGGCTGCTTTTATCTCCCTGTTTTTTTCATACAGAGAGTCAAGATTGAAAAATGACTTCATTAAAATTTGAAGTCACTTTCCATTACAATATTACACAATATAAGAGTAAAACAGTATTTTCGTCAATCTAATCACATGTGTAGCCAAAGAAGCTCACCGATAAACAATTTAATATATATGAAAAATTAGCCATATTTAACTCCAAGCAGTTTTGTCGTTTAAATGACATTGACAACAGGAATGTGCGATCCAAATCGATTTATAAGAAAATAACGAATGATGAAAATATTTATAGATCGTTTTAAATCACCAATATTTAAATCTATTCAGTAGAATAGAGAAATATTAAAAAAAAAAATCTTGAAATCAAACTAGATGTCACAAGCGATGTTCGAATATTGTCTATGATATTCATTCAAATTTAGTTCCTGACGTAATAAAATAAAATTGAGTATCGAAAATTAATAAATATGACGTCGTTTCGTGTTTTTTATTATATCTAACTTTCAAATTAATTTTAATTTGTTTGAATTTTTATTTTTTAAATACTTCCTCATTGCGGGAGGACGCGCGGGGTGATAGCGATGCGCGCGGGGTATGGGAGGTTTGGGTGGGACGGTGTTGCATTGATTACTTGCTTACTTTATAATTAAGTAAATATAGTTGGTATTTATATTATTATTTATAACAACAGAGAAAAGTAACATTATACAAAAAAACCGGCCAAGTGCGGAATGGGAGCCCCATTAAATGTTTATATAATTCTAGATTTTAGTATTTGTTGTTGTAGCGACAACAGAAATATACCATCTGTGAAAATTTCATCTGTCTTGTTATCACGGTTCATGAGATACAGCCTGGTGACAGACAGACGGATGGACGGACGGAGAGCGAAGTCTCAGTATATAACCTATTAGCGCCAATCTCATAATAACTGCAGTCGAGGGCAGAGCACACCCGCCGCACAGCACCACAAGCAGTACGCATGGGTATAGTAATATGGCACTGCGCTAGAAATTAATCGATAAAGTAATAACGGTAACCGCGGCGTGTCATTGCCGTCCGCCGCCGGTGCAAATAATCGACTAAGCTGAACAATTGACTAATTCGATTTTTTTTTTTGTAATAATCGCTCATCGCTATTGAGTTGTGTAATGAATGGCGGCGTATGACAATGACAGATAGCGGTGGATATTTGAATTTTAACTTTGATTTTTATTGATAAATATAGTAAGTTTCCCCGATATATTAATGTAATGTGCTTATATAATGAAGAATAAATTGCAACTAGTTTTCAAAATTAGTCAAATACCTTGTTTGGAATTTATTAAATTGGATTTTAAATAAAGAAAAAAAAAGAAAGAAAGTTTTGTTTTCTATAAAAAGTGATGTACACAATTTTAATACAAGAAATAAAAATAAATTAACGGTGCCTGTCACTAGACTGCAAAAAGTTAATAACTCATTCAAGGGTCTTTGTGTGCGCTTCTACAATAAGGTCCCAAGCAAAATACAACAATTAGATATTATGCAGTTTAAATCTACTATTAAAAAAGCTTATTATAAGGTATCCGATTACATAACAGATAAGAATGCTTGGACTTGAGATGATCCAGCAACTGGATAGGCGATTATTTCTAAACTCATTATCTTGTTTCCATTATTATTAAATAATTATGTTATCATTATAAGATCATACTTTTTTTTGCTATCTCTATCTCGGTTTTTGTAAATGTCATTACTCTTATTAGAGCTGGTGAGTTTCTTGCTCGTTCTTCTTTCAACCAAAAGACAGCCTGAACGAGTGGTAGGAAAAAAATGTTGGACGATTCAAAAGTACTTTTAAGAAGTCTATTTGAATAAAGATTATTTTGACTTTGACTCTGACTTTGAAAGAATAGTTAATAGAAAAGTAAAAAATCATGTCCACTTTCCATTCATTACTTGACCTGTCAGTCGTTTTCTTTTATAGGTCGCGTGTACTTACAAATGGTGTTATTTTAAATTGGTTTTTGCTTATAATAGAATCTTAACAAATAATCTTTTCATTTAAAGCCCAGGGAAAAGTGTAATTTGTAAATAATATATTGAGGTTATAACAACTGTCAAAACTCGACCGAATTTTAGTTTTATTTAATGGCACTATCAATATTACGATTTCTAATATTTTGTGATTTTCACATCTCACAGCTTTAAAGTGTTATTCTAATGTAATGTAGTCCAAAAAAGATACTGTTGTGCTTTTTCGAAATATTTTTAGTTTCTTTGATTTGCTACTACTTCTTTGACCAAAGTATACTTGGAATATTAAAATCGATTACGCATAATGTTGTTTTCAGTCTTAGATTATATTATAAAATAGAAATGAAAATAGTGATTTTTATAAAATTATTTATACACTACCATTATCTCCTCTTAGAACTACTTCATCCAAAAATGCAGCTGGAGGATTAATGTTATTTTGATGCTTGGCTGCCTGGCCCAACCCAAAAACTACACAATCGTCACAATATGTGCACAAAAACGCAACAATATGTCCATTCGCACCACTTATAATCAAAATATAAATATTATATTAGCGCCTTGAGAAATGCCGTTTCGTTTGATGCAAAATTTCGCTCTATGCGTAACTGGTTCAACTATATATTTATTTTTTACATCATTCGTACCATTAAAATAAAAGTTTTATAAAAATTACTCTTAGTTGAGAAAATAAAATAAAATGTAACTATATTTAACCTTAACACGATGAATATATTTCGCACGTTGAGAACGATAGTGACACAATGCAAAAAATGCGATTTCGAGTAATGAGCGTTTAAAGTTCAAGAAATTGTAAGCAGCCCCTCTAAACAACGTATCGTCACTACCCCACCTAGCAGTTTCTATGCAAGCTACGTTTACAGGGATCTTTGGATTTTAAAGTTTATACTTAACAAAGAAAAATGTTGTCAAAAGTAAAAAATGTGTCGTTTTTGGTTAGTGACATTGTCATTCTCAACGTGCATTTTCTCGTAGTAGATGAAAGAATCGCAGCAAACGGGCATTCTGCGATCCGAATCGCGTTCTCATATAAAACATAGGCCTTTTTTGAAACTTTAACAGCCTCCTTATTTTTTCCTCTTCTTATTTAATTACTTTATTATGCGCTATGAAATACATAAAAAATAAACTATATTTTATGACATATCACATCACTAGACGCATTAGTTAATTTCATAGGTCAAAATTGGACATGATTCTTTCAAAAAGTATTTAAAAATACCTAATGTGTATTTAAAATACAATACGAAAAACTATTTTGTATTTCAAATAGCAAATTGGTAACATATTATTACTATTTATTTAAATATTTTTAATAAATCATTTTTTAATATCTGTAAAAGGATTTTTGTACCTATTCACATATTCTTAAACCTAAAACCGATACTATAGACTGTCTAGTCTAGAGTATCGATTTTTAAATAACACAATGGTTGGTAGTACTGTGTTAGCCAAGCTGTGTGCATTTCTACTTTCCGTTTCCGCTTGATCGAACGAACGAATGAATGACCTTACATTTGCCGCCCGCCAAGCACTCTTCAGTCAGATCGTTGTCGGCTTTCATTCGTTTTGAGTCTTTCTTTTTGGCGTGGCGTCGGACTAAGAAGGTTGTCTCCGTTGAAGTGTTAGTAACGTCAAAAAGTGTATTTTTTAAGAATCAATTTAATTATATAGTGTTAAAATGAGACCCCAGCAAAACGGTGATGATGGCTTTGTAAGTATACACGATTCTTATTTAAAATTTCCTGTGCTTCTGATGATAGTTATTTTGTTTTATTTAAAATTAAGTGTTTTTTGTCACTATGAATTTAATCACATTTAAGTTAAGTAATTAATTGCTTAGTGTAATTTTGGAAGAGCAATAGAATTAAATTAACTATCGTTATACGCTTATTATGTATGTACCACGCCAACCGCCATTTTGTTGAACGAAGCGTCCTACTTGCAGGACGAGCCCGAAGTTCATCGTAAAATCTTCATCGGCGGTCTAAACTACCGTACTACGGACGAATCTTTAAAGTCACATTTTGAAAAATGGGGCGAGATTGTAGATGTCGTCGTTATGAAAGATCCCAAAACCAAGAGATCCCGTGGATTTGGCTTCATCACATATTCCAAGGCGCACATGGTGGACGATGCGCAAAATAATAGGCCGCATCGCATTGATGGACGGTTTGTTAAATGTTTTATATACTTGTTTGCCTAATATAAATATTTCTCTATTGCAGTCCAGCTATATGAAAGCGTAATTTAGCTTTTATATCGTTTTATACTGCAAATATCAAAGACACCACTTGGTGAATGTCTTGTGAATTTAATACACGTGGCATTTTCTGTGGAGTCGACAGTTATTTCCAGTACACGACTTAAGTACCTAAACTCGTGTTGTTTATTAAAATGACTATTAAGTGAAGACGACCATTAATAATACTATGTGAACATGATTGCACTACCTAATTTTTTATAATCTCTATTGGTCTATACAAAACTTCGTGGTATTTATGTTAATTTAATGTTGCTTTATTTTAGTGTTGTGGAAACGAAACGAGCAGTTGCTCGACAAGATATAAAGAATCCTGAGGCTGGAGCAACTGTCAAAAAGTTGTTCATTGGTGGCATTAAGGATGATCATGATGAAGATCAACTTCGCGAGTATTTCTCAAATTACGGAACCGTTCAGAATGTTAGCATAGTCACAGACAAAGCTACAGGAAAAAAAAGAGGATTTGGTTTCGTTGAATTTGATGACTATGATCCTGTTGATAAAGTTTGTTGTAAGTATTATTGTCAATTTAATATTCTTAACACAGTTTTGCCCCAGAATGGAGGTTGTGTATCTATTTCTGGCTTCTCTTGACTGTGGATAGTAATATATTGACATAGCTATGCCTTTTTGTACTCCAATGTATAATTTTGGCACGCAAGTCAATAGACATAATTATAATACTCAACCATTATGATTAAAACACATACAATTGCATTATCTTATACAATACAATTAATTGTTCTAGTGAATGCTCCTCACAAGATTAATGGAAAACAATTAGATGTTAAAAAAGCCCTTCCTAAAGATGGCTCTGAACAAAGGGGTGGAAGGGGAGGAGGACAAGGCAGAAATGACAACTGGGGAAATTCTGGTAAGTTTCAATCATAAAAATCACTTCTTTGTTTATCATTTCTGTTTCTTTATTAAATTTGTTTTAAAAATATTTCAGGTGGCTATGGAAATAATCAGGGGGGATGGAATAATTCCAACCCTTGGGATAACAATCAAGGAGGCTGGGGTGGTAACCAAGGGGGTGGTGGTGGCGGCGGCGGTGGTTATGGAGGAGGTGGCAACGGCCGAGGGGGCTGGGGAAACCAGGATTTTGGAAACTATGGCCAACAGAGTTACAGTGGGGGCCCAACTAGGAACCAACAATACAGCAATAATCGTTCCGCACCTTACAGTATGAACCAGGGTGGTGGTGGCGGTGGCGGCGGCGGCGGATATGGTGGCGGCAACTACGGCGGAGGTCAAGGTGGACGTGGAGGTCGTTTCTAATTTTACGTGAGTATATCTTTAATTTTCATTGTCATTTCACTCATAAACTGAACCCATTAGAAATTTCGTACATTTTGGAGACTTAGGCTTATACTTAGTTATTTGACATACTATAGAACTTCAGATCACTCACTACATAGCATTAATTGATAATTAGGAATATAAAATTGTTAGTAGAGAACAAGATGTAAGATAGACGATTGTGATTAATACTGTGATGGTAAAATGCGTGTTGACAATATGTTTATTTGTACATGACTCATTAAAGGTTTTTTCAATCTCTAGGTTTCGTGCTAAGTACACTAGTAAAGCAGAGTTAACCGTGCTAGTGTAGGCAGTACGCTCCGGAGCACTAGTTACACACCTCACGGTCCACACGCGAGACCACCTAGGAGAAGCCGTCAGGATACCAATAGACTATGTAGCTGGACCGTTAACTCGTTATTTTAGACAATTATGATGATAGCTATATTTAAATGTGTACCGATTTTGTAAGTTCGTCTTCTATTTATTGTAGTACTTAGGTACTTACCGTGACATATTTATAAGGATATAGTTAATGTGAAATGGAAATTAGTAACGTTTTAACGAATAATAATAAGTACAATGTAGGAGTAATCTTTGTAAGTTTCCTAAACGATAGACGCTAGGTGAACAAGATCAGAGTTAATTTAGATGTTGACATTTTATTTTCTTAATTTCACTCAGTATTTTCCTAATAAGTTCTCAAATAGCTGTTACATGGAAGATTATAGGTTTAGTTTAAAATTATTGACTTCTAGGATAAAGCTAATGTAAAATAAATTTAAATACAAAATTAGTAGGGTTGTTTCTTTAGATCTGTAAATATATTTCTACCTTTTTATTTTTTGTCAGTTTTACACACCTGTGTGTAGCAGATTGTTTTTTCATCTAATGAACTGACGTTTTATCTTGTCATATTAATAAAAAAATAGTGGTTTTTCTTAAAGTAAGTGGTTTAGTTATTTTCCCGATAATTTTACAAAAAAAGTAGTAACAAAGTAGCAACTAGGCAGATAGCCAGTTAAGGTGTTATTACTTTTGGAATAATAGACTATGATGCTTGGTAAGTGTAGTAAAAATGTATGCATCAAAAATTTGTTCATTAAGTGCTATTACCTGCGAACCGTTACAATTCAAAGGAGGTCAACAGAGTTCGTAACGGTATTGTAAAAAGTAAATGACTAGGTAACGGTTTCTCGAATCATTAAGGTCATGCTTTCTACAGACGTCTATGTATATCTATATCTCAAATTTGATTTCTTGCGTGTAGGAAATCTAGATAAAAAAAAACCTAATAGATTTAATTAACCATAGGAGATATTCTTCATTACCATCAGTGGCTTCAATCGCGGTGGATAAGGTTGTGCATATAGGTAGAAATTTCACTTTAGATCTTATTTTAGACTTTAGATCTCATTCCAACTCAAATAAAATGTGATAATTCTACATTATTCCACGAGTACTTTCCCACTAAAAACATAGATACTTAAGTTGTGGGTTTTACTTTAAAGCAAAGCTTTGTTTTCGTATTTCGTATCATAAGCTGTACATAAATAGCGCTTTGTAATAAATTAATCGATCGTTTTAGTGGCCTATTAAATACGTCCAAATGCAGTGGCATAGCATGCATTGGAGAGGGCCTGTATCAAAATTTGTTAGGAGGGATCCAAATGGTGGGTAAAAATTTTTGCTTACACACGTTAGGGACACGGGGTTCCCGTATCATTGATAACGTGGTAGCTATGCCCCTGGCCAAATGTTAATATTTAAGACGGGTCATTCAATATTGTCCATCTAAGTATGTACAACTACTTTTACATTGGATTTTTGGGCAGTTTAACGCATTGTTATTATTGAGAAAATAGCTTGGCATAGCACCTACTTCTCTTTTTAGTTACCAAATAGTTACCTGCTATGGCAGATAGATGGCACGTTTATTGTTATTATAACGTTTATGCCAAAAGAAGAAACTTATATCTGTCCCACTTCAGCGTAGAAATGATGATTTATGAAGTTGTAGATGGATGTAATGTTCTAAATCACAAAATCACCTGGCATTTCACAATCTTCATTTATCATCAAAGAATTAAAATTTTTCATTAATGGGCCATGTTAAATTTTATTTGAAAAATGCTGTTTAAAGGAATAATATAGCATATATGGACTCATTCTTTTCAGTGAAAATTGTATTTTGTGTTATATGAACAATTTCTAGGAATTGGTTAACATGACGTTACTACGACTCTGTAAACTATAAATTTGAACCTACTTTTTGCTCAAGCTTAATTGTTAAATAACAAGGCTAATTAATTGGATATAGCTAAGTATAGTTAATTTTTCAGAATTTAGATACTACTAATGCAGCAGATCAAATACGTATACTAGTTATTTTAAACTTAAAAATGAGTACAATATTGACTTAATTTTTTTCTGTGCAGGAACTTTATTGATTTTTCTCCCGGCTAACACGCTTGCGCAATGTAGCGATAATGTTTATCTTACACGCGTATTAGTATGAGAATTAATTATTTGAGTATAATTATTAACATTGCAAATATTTTTAGTCAATAAACAAGAATCTATGAAATGGAGCTCACGAAAATTACAGTACTACTATTACCAGTTATTAGGAACTGTTGATACTACTTATTCAAATTCTCTTCTATTGATTAGTTCTATTGATTAGTGTTAATAACTAAATAGGAATCTATATAAGAGATAAAGTAGATTATTAATTTTAATAAATTTAATTAAAAAAATATTAAATAGCTAAACCATGTTATAGATTTTTTCAATCTATTCCGAGTTAGGAATTGTTCGGAACGTATTTAGCACAAAATTAAGTATTTGACGCGTGCTTTTATCATTTTTAAATTAGGTACTAGCAGACCCGGCGAACTTCGTACTGATCAGTTTGTATTTATTTGAAAAGTTGTTTTACTAAGTCTTTAAGTTTTTTAAATAATCCTTCCTTACCCTCGAATATTTTGAAAAAGATAGTCTGATTCTTCAGTCATTTAGTCATTCATTTTTATTTATAGAAAAATGTTTTACAGCAGTTGGAGTTTTGCAATTTCATTTCTCGTCATTTTTTAATAATATGTTTATATATTTATTAATTTATTTTTAACCTCTATAAATTTCATTTCCATGGGCGAACTCCGATGATCCGGATGTGGCTTTCGGTCGGCCAATAAACAAAGGAGGTAAGTCTATTAATTATTGGAACATTTAATTTTTTTATTTTTACATTAAAAAGCAATAAAACAAAATATAATTACATTACATTGAGTTTTATTTTTATAATCCAAATGATTTCTCCTACCTTGTATGATGGTATTTTTTTTTACCAAAAACGGTTTCCGTTTTGGTCGGTAGTGCTCTCTACTAGCACCACCAGTTTATATCCCTAACGAGTATTTCATCACAACCTAGACATGTTAGTAGCATTTCAGGAAAATATTCTCTTGCACAGTAAAGATTTCTAATGGAGGCGGAGGTGATGGCACCAAGCCTTTTCAGAGTGGGATGTGCATATATAATGCACAGAACCATATGAAATCCAACATGCAATTCGCTACCTTGATCCCATTCAGTTCCATCACTACTAGGCTTTGTTCTAGTATATCCATGGAACTACGAATGCTTTTTAAGTAATAAATAAATTTTTGTCAGAATGTCTACTTTCTAAAACGTTCAAGGGGTAAATGTCCAGTTCCTGAAATGCCCGATTCATGAAATATCCAATTCCCATAATGTCCAAATCAAGTTGAAATTATTTATTCAGTCTAAGCTGTCGCAAGCACTTGTGGCAGTCGAGAGCGACGCCATCGACCATCTCAAAATATTACATTATCAAAATGCATAAATACGGTGGGAGACCTTGTACCGAGAAGAACCGGCAAGAAACTGCAAGGGCTGCTTTTTTCTCAGTTTTATTTCCTACAGAGCGTCAAGATTGAAAAATGACTTCATTAAAATATGAAGACACTTTCCATCACAATATTATATCTATAATATATAAAGCTTAATTTATAAAATATAAAAGTAAAACGGGATTTTCGTCAATGTCTAGTCAAAGAAGCTCTCTGATAAAGAATTTAATATGCATAAAAATGAGCTATAGTTAACACCAAGCAGTTTTGTCGTTTAAATATTCATTAATAGTATAATATCCTTTATTTAGTAGACAATTCTTAATATGGGTTTTAAATTCGAGCGAAGGTAAATTTAAAATTTCCATAGGAGTTTTGTTATAATAGTTATACTTTGACCCATAAATGTTCATAGAACCTTTAACCTGCATGACGGCAAAACAAGTTTATCTCTAGTTTTCTAGTATTAAAGTTGTGTACATGACTATGTTAAATATATCAATATATTATATCAATTGGGAGGCTACTGTTTTTATCCCAATTTCTATGAATTTATTTCTAAGTGATGTTCTTGAACCTAATTGATAAATAAATAACCTTTTCTGCTTTTTTGTAAAATAAATACGATTATATATCTGCAGCCTTACTCCACATCAGAATGCCATATGACATAATGCTATGGAAATTACTGAATATTTTCACCTGTGAGTTTTCTAATTAATACAAAAGGCAGAATTTGTGCTATGGTTTTGTCATGGTTTTGTCAAAAATAACTCTTGCGACTTCGCTTGCGTAAATAATAGCTTATATTAAAAGTATTCCCGCTCCTCCTATCATACCTATTAATTGAAGGTTTGGATAAAACCCCTGCCTAACAATCTGAGGACGGAATTGGCTAGATGCAGTTCGGAGTCTATTCAATGTAAACAAATTTTCTATATATGCGCACGGCACGAACTACACATACCTACCTACCGACCTACTTAAGAAAAAAAATGTTCTTTTATAAAACTATGTACCTAGGTACATAATTAATGTATTTTGAAATTTGTAGTTTTAGTGTGAAACTGGTAGTAATGTTTTTTAAAGCAAGAATTATTACTGTTTTTAACCCTTAAATGCATAGCGTTTCAAAAATGAAACGGTAAATTTATGCCCTTGTAGAACAAGGTATTTGTTATGTGCGGACTTGGCTGTATGGTTATTTGATGCCTCAGTCCATAATTAATTTGAGTGAATTAAAAAAATAACAGCCATAGATTAGCGTGCGGCGCGAAATGTCATTTTAAAAAAATTTGGAGCTTCTTTGGCGCCAACTACTATTTACTGAATTTGCAGTTTGTGATTAAAATTAAATTAAAGAGTACTTTTATCCGTGCAAAAATAAATTGTATTGGTAAGTTTGTCTATTTTTTTATTATGCTTCTGCTTTTTGGTTATATACCTGAATTATATGTTTTTTTCTCAAAAAATGTAATGTTTCAAAAATGATACAGTATGCAATAACGGTATGATGATTGGTGTGCTATTGTATGCGACAATTTTGGTGGTGGTTGAATGTTTATGCATGGTTTTATGTGCTTTTTACAGTGATGGCTTCAAAAGCATGCTCAGATGACCAAATAGAACATATTCTTCGAAGATTGGAAGCAGGTGACATATCAGAGGATGACTGTGAGTCTGAAGGAGACGATTTGGATTTCTATCCCACGAGAGAAGAGTTACTACAGGTACTAGAAGATGACTTTCCGCCTACTAATGATGATGAGACTGGTAATGATGAAGGCAGATCAGATCCTCCACTTATATGTGATGATGAGTATATTCATGTCTCATCTTCTGCCGCAGACCAACGCATCCCAATCAGGCAAATGATATGGAAAAAGCAAAGCTTTCCATTCGATGAAA